TGTTCCCTTTATTTTTTTGAGCCGTATATAGCCTGTTTTAGGTGTTCCTTCTTTCCTATGGAGAACTGATCCTGCGAACATTGGCAATAAAAATAGAAATGGATTGATGAAGTAATTATTGTGGCAAATATTGCATGTAAAAAATTAAAATAAGAGCTTTCCCAACTTAGAGTTTGGATCTTGATGTTGAGCAGTAGGAGAGAAGTTGACTCTAAATGAATCCACCCTCTACCTCTGTCACTTTACCTCCAAGATAGAGTCTAGAGTCAGAGTCAAGCAGTGAGTAAATCAGAAATGTTTCTTGGCAGAGGCAGCTCTCCAGGCGAACAGGTGGTGACGGAGAAATTTGGGTTGAATTGGGACTTGGTGCTTGCCGTATTAGAGCAAGTCATAGTGGCTCAGCTCGACGGCAGAGGACCTGGGTTTAGAGGTCAAAGGTGCGTCGATATTTTGTCAGTTCTTTTAATAGCGCTACTGATCTATATTTTTATTCCTGACAGTTTTCTTTTGTATTTCCAGGTTGCCTGATCAGGTTTACCACAGACTTAGGACGGTGGATGTCGAGGACCAGATAGCGGCTCTGGAGTACGTTGAAAACATCTGCATTGTCTTCATGAAGTTATTACTGAAATCAAAATTAGCTCAAAGAAAATTATTTTAAGTGTCTCGTTGACACAGGAACAATTTTTCTGGTTTGTGCCGCACAGAAGCAGCACTTTAGGAGACTAAACATTTTCTTTCCAAAGGGGTTTCAGTGAAGATTCCTCTTTTGTCAAAATGCTAACATATTAGCGCAACCTTTAACCGCAGGCAGGTCAAAAATGGTGGTTTACATTTTTGTTTTGTAGTTTATAGAGTTTATATTCCAACGTGACATGAAGAAGAAAGTCGACTCTGCCAATATATTGCTTATAATTTTTATTTTCATTCTGACCCTGATCTGAGTTAAATATGCCAAATGATATTGTAATACAACTTTTTTGTTTTTTGTCCAGATTCCTGGTGAAGCTGCCATATGTTGATCGGACTCGTATTGGAGTTTATGGACAGGTCAGTCTCGTCTGTCCGGCTATCGTTCAATAAATCAGTCCATAGGAGACGTCTGCAGCCTTTATAATTCTAAGAGCCATGTCTGCCTTCAGACCAGCTAAACAATGCTTCTTCAGAGGTGCAAATGTTAGTTTTTTTCTTTAAAAAGAAAAAAACTTATAAATATTTACTGTAGAAACACATATTATTTGTGTTTTTAGGGTTTAAGACAAAAGAAAACATAAGAACATTTGAAGAAAAGAGGATAGATGTTTCCTTCAGTGGGATTTGTAAATTTATGAAAAACGAAAAAAACTTAATGACAAAAAAATTGATCTAAAACAGTATGACTGGTATTTTACTATTCTTCTGCTAAGGAGAAATGAAAAGACGGCCTTAATCCACATTTGTTATTAAATTTAAGTCAGATTGTTCAGTTCCATTATAGAAGGGAAAGAGCCACTTGTGACTTCAGAGCTGCAGTTTGCAGACTCTTGGTCTATAGTACCTGGTAATGTAAGCAACATTTGTTTTTATAACAGGAAAGAATTGATATAGATTTTTATTTAACTCCTACAAAGTACTGAATGGTGCATTACAGGTTAGGAAAGCCTATTAATTCTATAATTTGTCATTTTACACATGCTGATTTGAACTCAAGGTTTCAGGATAAAATCTGTTTTCAGTGATTTTTCCTCATAACTGACTTTCCTCTGCAGGGTTATGGGGGTTACATCACTCTGATGATGCTGGATTCAGGAAGGTTGATAAGATGTGCAGCTGCTCAGGCTCCCATCATTGACTGGACCATGTACGGTAGGTAAACCACTGCAAACATTGAGGAAAAAATACATATTTAATACCTGTGCTGCTGAACCACCAGCTCTGTGAATGTAGACTCTCTCATTTGTCTCATCAGGGTAGGGGGACTTTAATTATACTTTGGCTCTGCGTTTAGGGATTTAGGCTCAGAGAAATTCTAAGATGAAAAGCTCCTGCATTTATTAAAAGTGTGTCGTTGAGTCGCCTTTAATCAACCTCTCCCTGCTTCAATTTCAGCCTCAGCCTTCTCAGAGAGATACTTCGGCTTGCCTTCAACAGAGGACAGCAGATACCATGTAAGCTTTTTGCTAATTATAATCCTGCTGCTTATTACTGTATGTCCCAGTAGAGATTTATTCAAATCTGGGGTTCGAGCTACAAATACCTACTTCGTCTCCCTTCAGGTTTATAAACCGCTAAAACAAACAAACCAAAACACTGAATTAATCATCCCATAAATCGTATGATGCATACTAAAAAGAGAGCTGTCACTGGAGCTTTTGGTAAAGTGTCAAAGGTGAAACACTCTGTCCAGAGCTCCCTTTTACACAGCTCGCATACACTCAAAACAGGGCCTGAAACCCGTGTAGGTTGTGATGCTTAAAGTACAAACTTGAAGGGAAAATATGCAGTGACTCATGCCACTTTGAGGCTTATTTTGGAAAGAGGGGGGAAATGTGCCACAGATGATGAGGTGGGGACATGAACAGTTTGGGGGCCGGAAGCTGCAGTTGGACGAACTCCTACCACCGTACCACCATACATAGTTAGCAAGCTAGCTAGGTATTTCTGGATTATAAGATGGCTAATGTGCAACAGACTGGCGACCTGTCCAGGGTGACCCCGCCTCTCGCCTGGAACGTTAGCTGGAGATAAACACCAGCACCCCTCCTGGGTGTAAAAAAAATGGATGGATGGATGAAGATGGCTAACGAGAGCTACTAAGATAGCATGATAGCGCGCTAGCTACTATCTTACGAATTACTTGCATCATTCTTAAGTGTGTGTGTATATATATATATATATATATATATATATATATGTATGTATATGTGTGTGTGTGTTTGTTAGTTTATATTTTTTATAAACTTTATGTCTTATTGTTAATTTTTCATTATTTATCACCATAGCTTTTCAACAATTTTCCCTTGGGGATCAATAAAGGATATTTTACTCTAGCTAGTTATTTCTGGACTTTAAGATAGCTAGCAGTAGTGACGCAGATAGGTAGATAGCTAACTAGCTAGATAGATTGTTAGATATTTCTGTTCTATAAGATATCTACTAGCTAGATAAATAATAATAATTGCTTTTATTTATAATGTCCTTTATATCAAATTGAGATCTCAAAGAGCACATATACCGGCTGATGATGCCAAGCTACTGGATTGTAGCCACAGCTGCCCTGAGGCAGTCTGAAGGAAGTGAGGCTGGCATTTCGTACCATTTCCTTCATCCGCCTTCCAGGCAAGGCGGATGAAGTGTCTTGACCACAGACACAATGAAAGAGGCGGGTGGAGTAAGAAATGAGTTGGCGATATCCACCGACCCAAAAAAAAAAAAAAGAGAGACTGAGGAAGTGTGAAAGAGGTGGAAAAACCATCACCTGAAACACACAAATACAACCACATCCCCATGTGCGCGACAAAATCAACATGCATCTGACCCAAACGCAAAGATCATTTTTCTGTCTTTTTTTCCCCACATTCTAGTAAAGCAATAAATACACCTCAGGATACACACATTGTGGACACCTTACACACCTAATTTGTGTAATTCTCCTTTTCAAAAGTTCACAAATTATTAGTAGTTATTAGATAATATTATGACTCTCCCGTGTCCAGCAGAGGCACATTTTTTTACTGGAATTAATCATAATGTCAGTGTCATCCTGACACCTGACAGGTGTCAGGATGACATTTTTCATTCTATAGTTTTATTCATGGTTCTGGTCGTCATTGTCTTTTGAATCCTTTGTGCCACCTTTAGCCCAAAAACAATAACGATCAGCATTTTATGCATCTTTTCATCCACAGATTCTCTTTAGTAAAACAGTATTGTGTGTTTGTTATGTTTCATCTTCAAAAGCTCCTGTGGAAATGCCAGGCGTTTAAACCTAAAACCCTTTCCCTCGGCTGCCCTCTACATGAAGGTTGCGGTGTATTTTTCCTGCTAAGTGGGTTGCTTATATCTGGGCCAGACTGCTCTATTTGCAGGAGGTGGGAGATCTGCTTTAAATGAAATCCAGAAAAAAGGGGGGGCAGGGGGAGATGTTACACTGATCTGATCAGATGAAACTCGTTTTATTAAGAGTGACAGACTATGAAAAAAGTCAGGTTGTGGATGACTTATTCATGATGTCTTCAGGTCCAAATCCCAGCAGGGAGTAAGTGAATAATGGGAGTGAGAAGTTGGGAATTCCTCTAGCTCTACAACTAATCATGAGGAAGGAATCCTAAATAGTGTCTGGCTTTTTGTTTCAAGGCGTCTACGTGATGTCTCAAAGGTGTAAACTAAAAAAAATAAAAAAATTTCTTTGGTTTCAGCCAGATAAGAAACCCAATTTCTGGATGCCAACTAATTTATATCTGTGAGCAAATTTTATGCTTCTGATGTAAATTTAATAACAATTATGAGCAAATTAATCAGTTATTTATATCAAGGTTTTGCTACATGTACAACAATATGCAAACATTATTACAATTGTATAAGTATAATTCAGGAGTATTAGTAATAATAAAAATGATAACATATATTATACATATTTACAAGGTTGAGCCCTCATACACCAAGACTTTTGAGTTTTTACAAGTAAGAAAAAAAAGTTTTAAGTAATTTAATTGTCCTGAATTGCTTTTTTCAAATTTTGGAATGTGTACTATTTGAAGCTCTTATTCTGAAGGTTTGCAGGAAGTTCTGGCCCAGTTCGTCCGTCGTTTTACAAAAGAAACAAAACATCAGATATATTTGATGATTATAAGCAGATATTTTGGTTCAGTGCTGCTAGTCCAAGGAATCTGAAAGTTAGAAAGAAAAACACCACCAGTCTGAATCCCGCAAACAGTTACCTGACAAAGCATTAGCAAGAAAACAAAATCGTCTTTACACTTTTAAGGTTTAAATTACTACTAGATATAACATGTTAATCAGTAAAATTATTAAAACCCGTAATCATATCGTTCCCATTTATAGTCGCATTCATAGATTCCCAGTTTAAGCTGATATATCTTTAAAATTTTAACCTACATACTTATTTCCAATCAGTAGAATGGTTAAGGGATCCCTACAATTAACATAACATCGATATTCATTCTGAGGTGACGTAAAAGGTCACGCTCTCCACAATTTCTATAAGTTTATCCAGGTTTATCTGGATTTTCAGTGTTATTTTTAATATACAGTTTCAATAATCTTACTTGCATTTCATTTTCAGGCATCCAAAGTGCTGCCCGGCATGAAAGGTCTTGAGGGAGGAACTCTGTTTCTGGCCCACGGCACTGCTGATGGTACCCACATCTCTGACCTCTTCATGCTAAAAAAAACCCATTTCAAAAGTCTTGTTATTGCTGTAATGTGTGTTATAAAATGCACTTGAATGGCAAAATGTTGTTTTTTTTCCTTGTCAAATATTATTTAACATGGAAGTTTGTTGTGTTTTCGTCCACAGCGAACGTTCACTTCCAACACTCGGCCGAGCTCATTAAACATTTAATAAAGATTGGAGCCAACTACACTATGCAGGTAATTACCGCCCCTTTTTAATGCAAAATTGATTAAAGGGGAGAACATACAAGGAGATTTTAAACACCTTGCGTCAACGTAACTTACAATAAAACAGGGTTGAAAGTAGAGAAGCTAACTACTTGTCTACAGTCGTGCTAGCACCTCTAAAAGATTTACATTTGTAAGGCAGGGAAAATTGTAGTTTTGTATTTATGCATCTCACTCAGTAGCAGTTAGGCACTTTCAGCAAAAAGAACGTAATAAGTAAATGTGTTTCACCTGAGTTCCCCACGTCGATAATGCAGTACTTTTGAAAACAGAATATTCTGTGAAGATCTCCAGATAATAAACCTTGAACAGAATAATAGAAGAAGAAACCCCTCGTGTTTGTAGTTTTGAACTGGGCAGAAAAGGCTGCGACTGAATTCGTTTGTTATGTTTTTTTCCTTTTCTCCATCTCTTGCCGAACTCAGATCTACCCGGACGAAGGCCATTTCCTGTCGACACGCAGCCGGATTCAGCTGACTCACTCTCTAATTGGATATTTCAGGGGCTGCTTGCTTGACACGTCATTGTTGCTCGAACAGCGGGACGACGAGTGAAAGGAGGACGGGGTTTATTAACGTGTGCGGAAGACCAAATGTGTCTGTTCTAAGCCAGTAGCGCCACGTTTGATGGACAAAATCAGCGTCTGTATGACATATCAGACATATCCAATATGCTCTCACAGTCCAGCAGCTGTACAGTCAGTGTTGTTAGCCAGACTGTTGTTATCAAACCCGACTGGGAATTTTAAGGCCGAAGTTGCTCTAATTCAACAAAAACATTGTCCCCTTCAAGCTAATTCATCAATTTAGTAAGATTTTCCTGATTTATTTAGTTTAAAAATCCAATGCCAAAGTATTTTTTTACAGTAGAATAAAAAGTCTTCAGGTCCCTTTTTCAAAGAAGAGGAACCAAAAGACTAAAATTGGAATGAAATGTTAATCGACTAATCTGAAAGTACAAGAATCTGGCCTTTTTCTCTTGAGATCACTTCCTTAAGTTTCCTTGCGGGGGCGCTGTGCACATGATTGAAGACAACTTTAGAACAGAAGAAGAGTAAGATGACCAAAACTTAAAAAAAATAAATAAAAAAAAAGTCATCTCTGTAAACTTTTGGATTGCCCTGGCACTTTTTATTAGCCTTTTGGATTTTTTTTTTATTTCATTTTTAAACATAAGAGATGTATAAGTTTATGATTGTTTTGCAGTTTGTTCATTTATGGTCACAGAGTAGCTATGCTGAGATAGTATTTGTACGGTGGAACATAATTGGGTGTTGTATTTTAGCATCAAGTTTACTCAAAATTAGTCAAAATTTGCTGAATTTAAATACATGAAACTGGCTGTATTATATATTTTTTAAAAACAGGGTTTTATGATTTGATTTTTTTAACATCCACAAATTAAAATGGAAACAAATTTGAACTATATAAAACTTAAGAAATATGTTTTCACTGAAATAGGACATTACACCTTTTGACTTTTTTTTTTTTTTTTATCCCAAATTGAAATTAAATACTTATATTAGCAGCTTTCAAGAATCATTGTGAACTGTCGGTTGAAAGCTCCTCTGATAGCAGTCAGTCTTGCATCAAATCTGGAGAGGCCTCTGACTAAAGACTACTACATGCTATTTCTAGAATATGTTTTCTACATTCAGTTATGCTAAACCACTGACATTCCAATCCAATTGTTTACAATTCCAATTCCATATCTTCACTTTCAAACGTATAATTTAAAAATCTATTGTCTTAAAAAGAAAACAGTTGTTTGGATACTTTTTATTCCAAATAGATGCATTCCAATTTATTACAAATTCAATCCAGCTTTAAAATCAAGTTACAATCAGTCCAATGTTAATTTCTACGACGCAAAATTCCTTCTGAAATTTAGGAACATAGTTCAATGTTCAATGATTATTAAATGTTTGACAACAGGTCATTTTTATTATTCTTATGTATCAGCAGACATTTGAAAACTAAATTGTCATGGCAGTATTTTTTTCTACAGACATTTAAATATTTTTGGTAATGCAAAATACTGAGTAAACAACATTTTAATCTAGTTATATTTTACCATGTACAAAAAAAAATGCTATACTTTAAACACCGTCCACCTCAAAAACATTCACTTTCCAACAAAAAGTGTGAAACATTTAAAGCTTTACTCTAATGTGAGTTTTGATCCCTTTTAAATTTAAATCTTACATTAAAAAAAAAAACATGTCTTAAACCTGGCTCACTAGTGGAAAGTTTCATTCTTTTTTTTAAAAAACATTATTTTTATTATTACATTATTATGGGGCAACTCAGCCAGCTTGTACACAGCATCAGCGCAAACTAAATGTGTAATCCTTGAGGTTAATGTGTGTTTTCTTAACAGTCTTCTGGATGTTTGTACAGATTTATTACTTCTAAGAGTAGATATTTATTAATGTCACACCAGTTTTGTGGTGTTTTCGTTTGAGTCCAGGTGACAATCTTACATATTTTGCTGTAAAACTCAACTTTTTTTTATAGTTCATGTAAGCTCTTTTGTTATTTTTGAGTCCCCCAATGTCCCTTTAATTACTCCGTCAAAACTCAAGCAGTGTTTTGCTTTTGAACCCAATTTCCTTGTTCGTGCGGTGAAAATTTCCTGCAGAGTTGGCGCACATACTCTCGAGGGCTTCGTTCTTTTCCTAGTTACAGCGCAAGCCCACAAAGCTCTGCAATTAAAAGCACCGTGAATGTCCACAGCAGCAGAGTGAACCGCTCCGTGCGATTGTGGCTAAGAGAGCAAGTCGCACAATTACCGACCGCCTCACAGGAGAGCCATTAATCACAGGATGAGTGTCCTCGACAACGTCCGCTCGACGTTCAGAGCTTCATTTCCATATGAAAAACACCAGGAAGTAAACAACCAGGCTGCAGTTACAGCCATGACTGGAGCGGAGGCGAGGGTCCTGACCAGTTACATGTGGACACTCAATATGGGGGCGGAAATATTAAGTCTAGAAACTGCTGTAGGTTTTGGATGAATGATAAGATTGATTTTTGGTTGTTTTTTTATTTTATTTTATTATTTTGTCTTGCTGTTTATTAAAGATTGACAAAAGTTTCATATTTTCGTTTTTACTTAAATCAGTGCCAATAAAGAACCTAAAAATCTAATTTTTTCCAAGGTTACACCTCTCCTCACGGCCATGCTAATTAAAATTAGACATTTATTTCAGAAATTCAAATCAGAAAAGGTTATGGTTCACTTCTAA